TCAAAAATGTTTTCTGTTGACCTAAAATTGCCCAAGGATTGTTCTAAATCCACATAATCTTACAGAGTACTACTGTTTATGTTCGGATTTTGCCACAGCAGATGTATGGAGAAAGATGTCTGTCACCACCCAGTGTGTCAGAGTTGGTGGCGGAGCAAAGGTCAGGAAGGCTTCCTCCTCTTGACATGGATTCAGCCCAGGGATTTCACAAAAACAATTACCTAAGTGTTGGAATGCACCGATTACTGCCAAAACTGGTGGAGCTCCGTCTGCTCTTTCCTACTTATACCACTGAAGAAGAAGAAGAAAAACAACTCCAAAAAAGAGGCTTAAGGATTTCACATTAATAAGCAAAGAGCATCTCAGTACCATAAATATGAGGGAAAGAAATGAAGAAATTCACATAAAAAGATTAAAGTCAAACCCTGAGCGTGAGAATATGGTCCCCTGACCAATAATGGACGCAAGCTTCCTTTCTGGGGTTACAGAGATGTTTTAAAGTTAGATCGTGGTGGCAATGCTCAACTCTGCAATGCTTCTCTGACAGCTAACTGTCCCTGTCATTGAAGTGTATTCATAAAATGGCTGAAATTTATGGCATGAAAATTAAATCCTAATAAAGGTGATAAATAAGAAAAAGAAGAAAAAGAGGAAGAAAGTCCTAAACAAAACCAGAGAGAAGGCCATGGTACGTTCACACCAATGATGCATTTATTCTAACGTCTCCTCTAGCTATTTCGAGACACCCTTGTGAGGTTGATAGGATGGATTATTCAAAATGTGCTTCTCAAATGGAATCTGTCATAGTGAATGGATAAAAAGTCATCTCTCTCTCTCTCTTTTTTTTTCCATTCTAGCATTAATCAATTTCTCACCTAAATATCAGCTGGAGATATGCTGACTGGCTTATAATCCTTTAACAAGGGATGTGCTTCATTCGTATCTACTGGAAGGAGCAATGGTTGTCTTGAAAAAGCAAAATCTAAGTGGGTGATATAAAAAATGTTTACTACTAACTACTAGGACAACTTAATAGATTCTCTAACCTATTCTTTGAAGAAACTCAACATACCCTACCCCCTACGCATCTCCCTCAGGGACTCAGAGTGGCTCCTTTTCTTAATGAAAATTAGAAAAAGGAGCAGTTATACTGTAGTGATATTACTAACTTAAATAGGCAGAATTGTAAAGCATGACAAATCTAGAATATATAAATGAAAAATCGTCCTAAGTTTTAAATGAATGTTCTTATATCTTGCCCTCCATTTTTTTCTATTTCAGAACCCCCTTTTCAATAGATGTACAACAGTCTAAGCCATCAGCCAACAGAAGGAATCTAATAGATAGATTAATTTTGAAATATTGTTTAGGATAATTGCTGATCTCCTAGACAAACTTTTACCAAATAGTCAGCCAACAACCCTGAAACGTCTGACCTTGATACATCAGGAAGCAAAAAGGCATATTGGACTTAATTAGTACCTTATGAAATCATTACTAATTGTGATATTAGATATTGTCAGAGATCCAAAAAGTTCTTTTTTAAACTTTAATTACACTTGATTTCCAAATTAATTATTATACGTTAGCAAAAATATAGCAGAGATCTAAATCTCAAGTACTGGCAACAACAAAAATCAAAAACACTAACAACAACTTAGGTAAAGACTTCCTCTCTTTATTAGCAAACGTCTGTAATTCCTGCTGATGAAAGAAATGAATTTTAGAATGCATTTAGATAGCTTTAAAAGTTTTAAGACATAATTTTCCTACATTTACACCCTATTATCAAACTTGATATTTATTTTCAATTTCCAGTAAGGATTATAAATTAATGTCATTTATTTTTTTTAAGGTACAAATGACTTTTTCTTTCCTTTACCACAGACTTCTGTATACAGTGGGTATTTAATAGATGGGGTTTACTAATTTATTCCTATCTGTGTTTCCTTTATATTGTATTATACTGCATTGCATTATGGCTTAGTTTATTCATTACGCTCGGAATTACTGCATATTATTAACATGTCTAAAGGTAGGTAATGAAACTGAACTTTAGAGAGGTCACCACAGTTCCAGAGTCACACCAATATTGATTTCTAGTGCATAGTGTTATGACTTTCACACATATTTTACATCCACAGAGTAGAGACTATATCCTATAATAATAAATTACACTTTCAAGGAGCTTATAGTGGATATATATTTCTTTCTGGTTTTGTTTTTCACTTTATTAATTATATTCTTCATATGCTGAGGGTCTATTTAGGTAAACAAGGCACAGAAGTCTAAGCCAGTCTGGCTACAGTTCTACAAGGAGCAGTGTGTTCCATTCCGAGCTGATCAGATGCTATGAATGTAGGGACTTCTCCTGAGACTTTTGGGGAGAGGATTCTCACTTTTATCTGCATCTCTTTTACTACTATCATCAGTAAATCTGGGTGAGAATGTGGCAAACTCAGAGAAAGAGAGGCTCAGAGGTAAAGAAAAACAAATCTGATGGCTCGGCACCTATAGCTCAACCGG